TGATCCTAAAGGAACACCACATTTAATTGTCTCATAATTAGTTTTTCTTTCATCATAAACTATAAACTATACTATAAACTATATATAAACTATACTATAAACTATATTATGAGCTATGTCTAAATGAAAAAGCTTCAAATCCCAGTGTAAAATGGCCTTTATCTCTCAGTCAGCTTTAATTGACAGAACAATATTCTCCCGCGCATTTTATTTTTGACTATGCATAGTTGATACTGACATAGAAGTTTCATCAAGTTTGCCTCCGCTTTTGCAGATGACAGTGGATTGAAATAGAAGTTGTTCTAATAATGTGCCAAAAAAAAGTCTAAAAATTTTCAAAATTTTTAAATGTCATCTAGAGGTTGCCATCTTGAAAAAATAGCGTTCGATTGTCAATTTATTGGTGATATCCGCGAGTGTGCGCAAAATGAAGAACAACGATAAAACATATAAACTGATAAACATATCTTTAGTGAATTTGTTAAAGGCATCTTTCTTTTCTTTAGTGATAAAGGAGTAAACTCTGTATTTTTTTGTTCTTCTTTATCAGTACTTTCAACTAATTCACTGACTTCAAATTCACTGGATTCACTTCAAATTCACTCAATTTTTGATCTTCGGTTGAATTTCTCCAAAAATCTATGCTTAGTCTATCTTCTCGACGATCTAAAAATTTTGAAACACCTAGATCGATGCTACCTGTCATATGATACTTTCTGTTATTCTTTTGATCTTCATAAAATGCCCAATCCTCTTTCCATTTGGTCTACGTGATACTAATAACTGTTCATATGCATTTACTGCTGAAATGTCGCAAAGTTGCTCAAGTTCATTACAAAATCTGACAATTTTTTCTTTTCCAGCTTTAACACCTCGACTTGATCAATTTTATTTATTTTCACCTTTTCCAAAAACAATTTGGTATCAACAAATTGTTTTTGGAAAAATTTGGTAACAATTATCTGATCGAATTGGTACTCCAGCTTTTTCCCAAACTTCTTTAAGTTCACCAAGAACAAGTTTAAAAATATCTCTTGCAGAAGTGTCGCCTTTTGAATAAAAATGTAAATGAGAGTATCTACCCAAAACATGTTTTTTTTTTGGTAGACGACTGAAACTTGATAATTTATTGGATTCAGGGTAACCAATTAACCAATCTTGATTATTTTTTCCTAAGTTCATCGTTACAAAAAAATATTCGATTACCCAAATAGTTTTAAAATTGTTTTAAAATTTCAATTTTGCTAATTGATATAAAAACCAATTTTTTTTTATAAGTTTATGAAAAATATATACATCCCAGCGGGCATTTTGACGTCCAAAGAACGTCCGTAAGACGTCTTAAGTCTCGTCCGTAAGACATCCTTAGTTGGTCTCAAATGAAAGGCTTGAGGACGTCCATTCCGGACGTCCAAAAGACGTTTTTTAAAGACGTCCTAGAGACGTTTTTTGCAGACGTTCTAGAGACATCTCTGGCTGGTCTCATATGAATGACTTAAGGACGTCTTTTTCAGACGTCCTAGAGACGTTTGAATTTTACCAAGACATTCTTTTAAAAGTTATATAAAAATGCAATGATTTACAACACACACCTTAGATTTGCCTTAATCTAGGCAAGGGAAGTTATAAAAGGAAATCAATGTAAATAAAGTGTAATTTGATATATTTAAAATAAATTAATAACCTTATAAAAATTAAGAATAATTTTTCAAACAAAAAAGTTAAATTTTTCAAATTAAAAACTAATAGGTACTGTAGAATATAATCGATAGTGCATTATAAATAGAAGAAAATTGCTTAAAAATGGAAAAAAAATACAACAGTTAATTAAGCCAACATTGATCGAAATCCATATTAGTCGATGTTTTCTTTATTCGGTCAGAAGAATGCCTAACTACTCTCCCAATAAGTTGGATAGCATCCATTTTAAGTTTTAATTTGACTTTAAAGCAGCTTCTAATAAAAACAACAAAACATGTTTCAATAAAATCATAAAATAAAATATATATGTCATACTTGAATACATGTCATGTTCCAGAGCCAAAAAACTTTTTTTTTTTTTTTTAAAACATCATTTTTAATTTTTAATTAATCTAACACATTAATAAGCTAATAAGAATACCAGTGACAGCGTTACATAGACTTGTCAACTCTTTAAACTTTTTTTTCTTCTTTAGACAATTCATGCTGTATTCTGACAAAATAGTGTCTGTTGGCAGTCTACATATATAAAAAAGAAGATAAATGCTCTACTGTCAATCATAAATGTTAAAACTCAAACTTTCGCTAATTACTTACAAGAGCAAAATATTTTTAATTGTATCAGCTAGATTTTTATCGCCAATTAATGATAACTGTTTTATCTAAAAAGAAACAATGTATAAGAAACATTGAAAATGTTTATGACAATTTAAAATAAATATTGTAATAATATATATCATACAAACTTTAAAGATGAAACTCATGTATACAAAAGTGATGTAATGGATATCTCTATTTGCAAATTTTTTTTTCAAAACATTAAGTTTATCTGAACTTTTACGTTGTTTAAAACCTTCTTCTGGATTATTAGAGAACAGTGCAGTTCTATCTACTAAAATTTTTTTTCATTTCAGCAAGTTAGAATATAAATTTTTTCTGAAACTTTGAAAAATAAAATATATAAGTAAAGCCATATAAATAGTATATAAAGTAGTAAATAGTAATTCCTATATATGGTTGAGAAGAGGTAGATTTAAACTGAATAATGCTTAACCTTATAAGAATATATATGTATATATATATATATATATATATATATATATATATATATATATATATATATATATATATATATATATATATATACATATATATATATATATATATATATATATATATATATATATATATATATATATACATATATATATATATATATATATATATATTGATATATATTGATATATATTGATATATATATATATATATATATATATATATATATATATATATATATATATATATATATATATATATATAATGAATATGTATGCATCATATAAACATTAATGTATAAATCATGTATATATAAATAATAATACATCAAATTAAATTAAAACACACAGTAACTTGGTGTCAACATAAGAAATAATCTTAATAATTATTTATACAACCAGAGATGGAAAGATCATAAAATTGAACAAAACAACACAGGAACAACAAAATATATACAATTTATTTATTCATTTACCTATTTCTACAGCAAAGATATTACAAATCTTAGCATATATATATATATATATATATATATATATATATATATATATATATATATATATATATATATATATATATATATATATATATATATATATATATATATATATATATATATATAAATATATATATATATATATATACATATATTATAATATAGATATATATACATATATTATATATAGATATTACAAATCTTAGCATATATATATATATATATATATATATATATATATATATATATATATATATATATATATATATATATATATAAATATACATATATATATATATATATATATATATATATATATATATATATATATATATATATATATATATATATATATATATATATGTATATATATATATATATATATATATATATATATATATATATATATATATATATATATATACATATATATATACATATATATTCTTATAAGGTTAAGCATTATTCAGTTTAAATCTACCTCTTCTCAACCATATATAGGAATTACTATTTACTACTTTATATACTATTTATATGGCTTTACTTATATATTTTATTTTTCAAAGTTTCAGAAAAAATTTATATTCTAACTTGCTGAAATGAAAAAAAATTTTAGTAGATAGAACTGCACTGTTCTCTAATAATCCAGAAGAAGGTTTTAAACAACGTAAAAGTTCAGATAAACTTAATGTTTTGAAAAAAAAATTTGCAAATAGAGATATCCATTACATCACTTTTGTATACATGAGTTTCATCTTTAAAGTTTGTATGATATATATTATTACAATATTTATTTTAAATTGTCATAAACATTTTCAATGTTTCTTATACATTGTTTCTTTTTAGATAAAACAGTTATCATTAATTGGCGATAAAAATCTAGCTGATACAATTAAAAATATTTTGCTCTTGTAAGTAATTAGCGAAAGTTTGAGTTTTAACATTTATGATTGACAGTAGAGCATTTATCTTCTTTTTTATATATGTAGACTGCCAACAGACACTATTTTGTCAGAATACAGCATGAATTGTCTAAAGAAGAAAAAAAAGTTTAAAGAGTTGACAAGTCTATGTAACGCTGTCACTGGTATTCTTATTAGCTTATTAATGTGTTAGATTAATTAAAAATTAAAAATGATGTTTTAAAAAAAAAAAAAAAAAAAGTTTTTTGGCTCTGGAACATGACATGTATTCAAGTATGACATATATATTTTATTTTATGATTTTATTGAAACATGTTTTGTTGTTTTTATTAGAAGCTGCTTTAAAGTCAAATAAAAACTTAACCAAAATGGATGCTATCCAACTATATATACATATATACATATATATATATATATATATATATAATATATATATATATATATATATATATATATATATATATATATATATATATATATATATAAACGTTCTAAAGGCATTTTTTGCAGATGTTTTAGAGAAGTCTCTGACTGGTGTCATATGAATGACTTAAGGACGTCTTATTCAGACGTCCTAGAGACGTCTGAATATTACCAAGACATTCTTTTAAAAGTTATATAAAAACGCAATAAATTACAACACACACCTTAGATTTTCCTTAATTTAGGCAAGGGAAGTTATAAAAAGAAATCTAAGTAAATAAAGTGTAATTTGATATATTTAAAATAAATTAATTACTTTACAAAAAATAAGAATAATTTTTCAAATAAAATTACCCTTTCCAAATTAAAAACTATTAGGTACTGTAGAATATAATCGATAG